ATATATATATATATATATATATATATATATATATATATATATATATATATATATTTCTTCATTTAGTTAGGAATCATATGATACACAAATGAGGAAAACATCCACAGAAAAAGCAAACCAAAACATTTCACATGTTGAATGTCGTGTTACTCCTACTACTAGTACTACTCGTTACTACTCCTACGATAACTACATGGAAACATAACGTTACACGTCTCCTTATAGATTCTGCTAGCAAGAAGGGAGAAATCTCTACTTTCTAAAAGATCAAAGACCTCCCCTTCCCCTTCTTCTCCATCTCTCTCCTTCGTTCTTTTCTCATTCTTTTCCCTCAACGATATCCAATTTCACCTTTTCCAACCCTCCCAACATCGCATCTACCACGCAAACCAAACACGCGACGGATGAAATGCGCGTGGTACTCTAAATCTTTATAATGCATCCAAATTTTCCTTTTTTAAATTTTTTACACGTGTAGGGAGGTAGGAATCACCCCACATCCCCTGGTTTGCGCATGCGCGTGCGGAAGAGCCAATCGTCGTAGATCTTCCGCTTCTGATCGACAAAATCCTCCGGATATGGGGTTTCCCGAATCGCGGCGTTCCCCGTGATCGCCATATACAACATCGCCTGATTGAGCTCCTCCATCCTCGACATCGCGAAGGCTTTGTTGTAGAGATGTCGACAATTCTTCGCCGCGTTGTACTGCCCTTCTTTCATAATACAACGATTCAACATCTCGGAGACAAGATTGGCCTGCGCGACGTAGACATCCCGTTCCCGCTCAAACCAGTTTTTAAACGCGAGGTAGTGATAGTAATCGAGATATTTTCCATCCGTCGGCGGCGGAATCTTCGCGTTTACGTATTTTTGCCGCGGCCATCGCCACGAGGCCCACCAATACTCCTCCGGGCATGGATTCGGCCGCGTATGGGCGTCGACGTAACGCCGCGGAAGCAACGGCGAGAGGGGGCGGAGGAGGTAATCGAGAAACCCGCCGTACGGCTTTCCCGTGCGGCCGCCAAGGGTGGGAAAATCGACGTTTTGCCCGTATTGCAGCTGAAGAATTCGCGTAAAACGCGCCACGGCGGTGCGGGGAGGGGTGTGTTTTTGTTTTTCCTCCGCCACGGTATCAAAGGCGGGGAAGTTTTCCACGTACGCCCGAGAGGCCATGGAGGGCGCGGCGTGGGAGGGCTCCTCCCCCGTCGTGATGGTCATTTTCTAAAGCGCGAAGAAACGGAACGACTAATAATAATAATAGTAAAAATAATAAAAGAAAAAAAATTAAACAACCAAAATGGGAGAGGGGATGAAGCGGAGTCCTCCTTTGATGAGAAAATAAAAAATGAATCCTTCACACACCGATACCCACACTCCAAGAATCAAGCTAACAAAACAGCTAATTTACCCGTATTGAAAGAGATACTATTTCTGTAATAATAATAATAATAATAATAATAAAAGGAGGGAGAGGAGGGAGCGATAAGAGGTGCGTGAAGAGGAGAGGTCGGACGTGAATGAGATCCCATGCAACCCCCTCCCCTCCCCTCAATCATAATCATAATCAGAAGCGAAGGAAAAAAAGCCTTAAACGTGATGAGAATCATTAATTACGTCATGAAGCCTTGCCGATGCGCTGCCCTCGCCGCTCGTTTCAACTTTCCTGCACCCGGATGGGGGGGAGGGAGGGGGGGGAACCAAACGCTCATTGAAACATTTTCGCCAAATTCTTTCGAAGCTTCTCCTTCGCTTCGCGTTCGCCGCGCTCGATGGCGGCCTGCATCGCCGCCGCGACCTCGCCGGATCCGCCGGAGGTGGTGAAGTGTTGCACCGCCTTCCGCGCCTCCGCGAAGTCGTGCGCGGCGATGGAGGCCTGCGCGAGGCGGTAATACCCTTTGGGGTTCCCCGGCGCGAGCGCGATCGCGCGCTCGGCGTCCTTCGCGGCGTCGAGGAACTTCCCCAGGCGATACGCACACAAGCTGCGATTCAGCAACGCGCCGCGGTGGAGCTCCGTCAGCTCGGCCTCGTTCGGGAGCAAATCCCGCCGTCCGTCGGTGAGCTCGATGGCGACCGTGTAGGCCGCCGCCGCGGCGGGGAAATCCCCGGCGGCGACCAGGCGATTCCCTTCCGCTTTCCCCGCCCACGCCTTCGGGAGGTCCTCCACGCGAAGCCGCTTCGTTTCCTCTTCGCGGATTTGGGTGGTGGTGGCCATGTGGGTGGCATCCGCGGCGTCGGCGCGAACCCCCGGGGGGTTCGCGAGCAACGCGTCGAAATCGCCGCGGCGGCAATCCACCCGCCGCCAGGTTTCCAACGCGGGGTCGTCGTGGTTGGAAAGCAAAAAGGCATCGCCGCGGATCTCCCGCCCGGCGATCCGGCTCGCCCGATCATTCCGCGCGAGCCCTTTGAAGCTCCCACAGCCATCCACGTACAGCGAGGTGCCGATAAAGCGAGAGGCCCGCGTCGGCATCGTGATCGGGACGATCTCGAACGAGGCATCCTCCAAGTAGGCCTCGATCAGATCGGATTGCCGCGTGGGATCCACCAAAGGGGGGTCGTCGGACGTCGCCGGAGGTTCTGACGTCCCCGCCCGAACGGCGGTCTTCCGCGCGGCGTCGTTCGCGGCCTCGACGAGATGCCCCGCCATCGCGCGATGCTGATCGGGCGAGAGCAGCTGACGACGAAAGTAACGCGTGAGGTGGGCGCGGAGGGCCTCCTCGGTGTGGCCGTCAAACCGGCATTCCTCGACCTCGCCGGCGTCGTCGGCGGGGATGCGGACGTAGGTGAAGGGCTCCACCTCCGGTAGGTTCATCCCGGTCTCCGTCATTCGAAAATCGCGAAAAATGGGCGAGGGATTCTTTTAGAAAAATGGATCGAACGCGGGTTTTTTTCTTTTTTTTTTGGTGGGGAAAAAAAACTAATTATTATTATAAATGCGATTTAATCTCAGCGGAGATGTGATGGAATAGAATATAAATTTAGAGCTAAAAGTGCGTGCGGTTGCGGATAGCTAGCTTTAGAATGTAACGTTTAAGAGATCTTATTTTAAAGGCCGTTTATAAGCTAAAAGCTAAAGAGAGGAGGACATATTTCAGAGAAATGAACCAGATATCATTGCTTGGTATCACAGAAGGGAGCCATTAACTACGGAGAAAAGGGGTAGGGGGGGTTGAAGGGTGGAAAACAAGGTTGAAGAATCGCTCGCCGTGTGAGGATAAAAACCACACACAGCAAGAAAACCTGCAATCATTGAATGACTTTTCCCAGGAAGAGTCAAGCCCGATCGTCAACCCCAGCGAAAAGGGGGAAACCAACCACCACCACCATTATCCCAGACGGCCACCTTCACATCAACTGCTTTCTTAGAATGAAAATGGGAAACCCTATGCGACCCCTTTTCCGGGAAAATAAACACACCCTTGGGTTTTAGCCTTCTCCTGAAAAGCAAAGCGTCGCTAAAATGCGAACCACTTCTATACAGCCCCATTGCAAGGAAGTCCTTCGCGTGCAATTACCCTTTCATGACTTCGATATTGACTGCTTTCAACGTGTTGATGCAATTCTTTTCATCATTTTCGAGGTTCCCTCTTTTTAGCATGCGCATTCTCCCCCCCCCTTTTTTTTTTATCATACAAAGGGTAGGGAATCGAAAGGAAGGCTGAATTTAGCACCACCGTCGGGATATAAAACATGTTCTCATATGACATTATGGTGAAGGCAGAAACCTGCTTTCTCAAAAATAAATATACCTCCTGCTACGTTTCAAGAGTGTGCGTTTTGTTCATCAGCATAAGTATGTGAAAAGAGGAAAGTGTAGGATATGCATATATATATATATATATATATATATGTATGTATAACTTACAACTCGAGGAATTCGTAGCTTCTCCTGGTGCAATACAAAATCGAACCATCGACGGATGTGGTTGCCCTTTCACACGCCATTTTTTTTAACAAAATGAAAAAGGGGTTTTGGTTTTTATTTTTTTACCTCGCCAGACTTAGGGGCCATTTTGTATTTCGACGGGGAATGAAGAATAGAGGTGTTAATCCACGGCAGCGGCGCCGCCTCATCGAGCAAACGCTCCATACTTTGATACCGTTCCCACTCCCAGCGTTTTTTCAGACGAAACCACACGAACCCGGGGTTTTCGATGTTGTAATCCGCAAACATCGCACTCACGTTGAAATTTTTCCGCTGCAAATACCCGAGATAATAGTTTGGGTACAAACATTCCATCACGATTGGCCAGACCTTCGGAGGAACCGCCGAGGCGAGTTTCTGCGCGCTTAACATCTCCGTCTTGGCGATGCAAAGGACGTCGTAGAGGAGTTTGCGCACCCCGCCATCCCGGGAGGCGAGGGGAAGATTTTTCAACAACGCCAAATTCACGTGATTATCCGCGCAAAGATCGGCAGGGAGCATCGTCACCCCAAGTCGGACGTATCGTTTCCAGAGCATCACGCAATGCAACACGAGCCCGATCGCGCGACCGACGTGCTGCATCAGATGCTCCGCATGCTCATCCTTCACCCCGATCACCTCCATTAAGGAAAAAAAGAAGTACCCGTAGAATTTATCGAAATGATCAAACAGCTGTTTGACGTTTCCGGGTTGCTGCATCACGCGAAGTCGGGCATCGGTGAAGCCGCGAATAAACGCTTTGGTCATCCCGGGCACCGCCGCCACCGTCGCGCCGAACGGGCGAAGAACGGGGTGGGAATCGGTGAATTGCCCGGAAATCATCTCCCGCCGCTGCACAATCGACGAGACGGCTTCTTTCCAGAACATTAATTTCATCCCCACCCCGGTGCTTTTCACCCCACGCTGCGATTGAACCTCCAGCGCGGACCACCTCGCCTTGTTGAGCGAGATCGCGAGGTACCACATCGCGAGATAATTTCGCCGGATACTTTCCTCCGGAAAGGCAAGCTCGCCGAGGGTGAAATGAAGCGGATCCACCTCTTTTAACTCCTCCTCCATCCGAACGTAATCGGCCTCTTGGGCGTCGAGCACAAACGGGACCGCCTCCGCGGCGCCGGAATTCGGGCCGCTAGATCGTCGTTTCGATTCCACACTCGCCTGCTTCACACGTTGCCAGAGCTCTTCCTTGGTGAATTGATTCCCGGCGAGGGCGCGGTAGTATTCCTCGGCATCCGTCGTCGCCGGGGGTTTCGAGTTCGCCGGGGATTCCATCTTGCCCGGTCGTTTTCCCTCCTCGGCAACTGCACGGCGAGGAAGGGAGGAACGCTTCGGCGACGGAAGCGGGGGTTTCGCGTTTTTTTGAAGCGGGGAGGCGAGCCCGAGGGCGTTCTGCACGCGCGGCCGCCGAGGCGACGGAAGGGTGCCCGTTAACACCGCCTCCTCCACCAATTTTGCCTGCATCGCCTGCAAGGAGGCCTGGGAACCCGCGACGCTGCAAGGGAGGGGTTCATTTGGATCTCTCGCGCCTTTTTTCTCCACCTCGGATTTCATAAAAGCGGTGATGGAGCCGGCGTAATGGCCGAATCCGCCGAGGCCTTTGCTAATTCCGGCGTCTCTATCCACCCGAATCGCTTTGGGTCGCCCCACGGGGCGCTCGGAGGCGGAGGAGGGAGGGGGGGGGTCGTGGTTCGCACGGCGCTGGTAGGAAACCACCGTCGACCGCCCGACGAGGGAACCCCGCACAACGGGCGTGCACACCGGGAATGTGAGGAAACGATACATTTCGAATAAGTGTTCAAGATAATAATAATAATAATAATATATATATATATATATACAGATCAATAATCTAAGTAAGTAATATTCAGTTCACCGGAAAACGTTAAATCCAATAGTAAGAATGACTATATTAGGTATATATATATTTTTTTATATATACATATATATATCCGATTGAGCTTTACCTATGATGAAAAAAAATAAGAAACGCAACAACGTCAGCATGTTTGAGAATAAAGACGCATCCCCATCCACACACATACACACACACACACACACATGCACACGCCATGCAAGGTTGTTTAGCCCATAGAAATAAAGCCTCCCTCCCCTCCCCAGAAGAATTCATTCGTTAAAAAAAGGAAAGCCAATTCCGTTGAAACGAGCATGGTTGACAATGAGGTGTGCTTATTTAATAGTCAAACACCGCCATTCCCCCTCCCCTTTTTTTTTTCATTCATTCATTCATTCTTTCTCGCCTATTCAGCAAATCGTGTCTTTTCGAAGTCTACGACATGAGGGCGCTCACCACGACATCCGCGTCGAGGACCTTTAAATCCTGATACGTCTGCCCGACCCCGACAAACACGATGGGTTGCCCGAGTTCATACATCATCGACAACGCCGCGCCGGTTTTCTCGTCGACGGTATCAAACTTCGTGAGAATGATCCCGTCAATCCCGCGGACGTTCTTCCCGACAGGGGTATAATCGACCAGGCATTGGTTAAACTTGCGGAGCTGATCGACCCCGTTATTCCCGACAAGCGCCTCCCCAACGAAAAGAACCAGATCGGGTTGGTTATCATGAATCAGCTTCGCGAGGGCGCGCATGCGGGGTTCGTGATCTTGCATTCGCCCGGCGGTATCGATTAACACGACGTCGAGGTGTTCTCGCGCGGCAAACGCGATCGCGGCGGCGGCGACGCCGGACGGATCCGCGCCATACCCCATTTGAAACACCCCCGCCCCGAGGCAACGCCCATGCACCTCCAATTGTTCAATCGCCCCGTGGCGAAACGTATCCGCGGCGGCGAGGAGCACCCGAAATTGATTCTGCTGCAACCAAAACGCGACCTTCGCGAGCGAGGTCGACTTGCCGACCCCGTTCACGCCGCAAAAGACGACGCGGT